CTCAGAGCAGCGCGGGGGGTGGCCCGGGACCCACCGCCAGGGCCCCGCCCCGTCCCATGCCTAGCGTCCCAGGCCTGGGGCATGCAAGGGGGCTGCTGGGACCCACCAGCGGGACAGTCCGTGGAACAGCGGGGGATCTTCAGAGAGAAACCGAGTCCTGACATAGGCCAGTGGCAAATGGACCGGGACTGTCGGAGGGTCGCAGACACAGGGACAGGGAGACCCTGACGGACAAGAGATGGAAAGGGAGGCGGGCGGGCGGGGCCCACGCGCACCGAAGCTGGTACTGCAGCCTCCGGGACGCGGGGGCGGGGCTCGCGGTCCCCAGCCTTGCCCTTAGATGGAGGCCCGGCTCCCCAGCGCACCCTGCCCCGCAGGCGGCTGTCGTTCCAGCCAGGAGCGCTTGGCCCCGCTGCAGATTTCTTTGAAAAGTCTTTTGGGCCAGGGTCTCTGCACAGTGTGGAGTTCCCGCTTCACCTCACCTCTTCTCCTCGCGCCTGCCAGGCTGGCAACCACTCAGCAAGATGCTCCCTGGAGGGCAGTCCCAGGGCAGGGACCTATACCCTCTTCCCTGGCAGGGAGAGGAGAGAAGCACAGTGGTGGCCAACAGGGCAGGGGGCAAGGGTGCCCCTTCCCTGACTCGGAAGGGGGCTCTCCGTTAGCAGCTGGATTCTCTGCCTTTATTCATTGGAAAGTGAGGCTCAGAGTGGGGTGTGATTTGAGATTTTGTGACTGAGAGAGCTGGGATCTTCCCTCTGCCAGAATGTATGCGTATAGGTACAGAGAGCAGCGCGGTGCTGTCCCACTCCCGGGCCACCCTGGCTGGATACCAAGGGTTTACTTTGTAAGTAAGAAAGATAAAAATTCTGGGCTATCCTAAATTTAATTACGAAGTTGAGAGGAAGATGGAAAGGAGGAGAAATAAGTTAATTAGCTAACAGCTTCAGCCAAACCAACAACAAAAATGCGGTTTTGTTTGTTTGCTTATCTGTTTTGGTACTGGGACTTAAACACAGGGGTGCTCTACCACTGAGCTCCGTCCCCAGCCCTTTTCATTTTTCATTTGGAGTTAAGGTCTTGCTAAGTTGCCCAGGCCTGGAACTTGTGATTGTCTTGTCTCAGCCTCCCAAGTAGCTGGGGTTACAGGTGTGTGCCTCCACACCTGGCTTCCACTTTTTTTTCTGTCTGCAGGGCTTAGGATGGAACCCAGGGCTACCTGCACACAAGGGAAGTGCTCCACCACTGAGCTGCGTTCCCCAGCCCAGCTCCATGTTCCCAAACATGCTGAAGCTTTGACTCAGAGCCCCAGGAGTTGATCCAAAATGTCACTGCATTTCACAGCCCCAGCCAGTCAAGAAGCAGCCTCTCTTCTTCCCAATAGCCCTTCTGTCCCACAACTCCGCTGGCTTCACCTTGTCCCTCCCCTCTTATCTATCGATAGCCAGTGTAGATTCAATGTGAACAATTTAGGCTTCCTTTTCCCCAAAATGTTAATTATAATGACTCCAGATTTTTAGATGTGGTGGGCATTTTCCCAGCTGCTTTCCAGCCGTGCAGCTGGTGGTTGTGGGAACCTGTCCCTCACCATCTGGCTCACATCCATAATGGTTCAATAAGCCCTTTTCTTTCAGAGATCTCTGTATCAAGAGTTTTGGAGGACTAAGCATGGTGACACACATCTGTCATCCCAGCAGCTTGGGAGGCCGGGGCAGGAAGATCACAAGTTTGAGGCCAGCCTGGGCAAATTAGTGAGACCCTGCTTCAGACAAAAAAATAAATAAATAAATAAAAAGGGCTGGAGAGGGCTGGGGTTGTGGCTCAGTGGTGGAGCATCTGCCTGGCTCCTGTGAGGCACTGGGTTCCATCCCCAGCACTGCATAAAAATCAATCAATAAATGAAATAAAGGTGTTGTGTCCATCTACAACTAAAAGGAGGGGGTAGGTGCTGAGAGCCATTAGCCAAGTAGGTATGACAATTTCCTTGCCAGCGTACCCCATGTTGCTTAGAGGAAGGACTCATGGAAATGGACTTGCCTTGGACATTTGCAGTGACATTGCATGTATGTTTGAGAAAGGTGACCCTGCTCAAGGACCAGGGTGGATCCGGGTTTAAGGAGGATCCTACTGGATTAGGGAGGATCCAGGTTTAGGGTGTATCCTGCTGGGAATAGGGAGTATCCTGCTGCCTCAGGCATGCCCACTCCCAGAGTATTTGGGATTCAGAACGTGAATTTTCCCAGAACGTGTTTGTAGAGGGCGGTGTGAGTTTGGGAATAAAGAATTGCTGTTTGAATCTACAAAGCTGTGAGTGGCTCATGATTTTGTGCCCAGCCAGACTGCGGCAGGTAGGAATGGAGCTCAGTGATAGCACACCCTGGGTTCAATCCTATTTTGAGGAGAAAACTGGGGTTCAGAGAGGGTGAGAGAGGATTTCCTGTGCAGGAACTTAGTGGGGAGTTCAAGGTTGGCCTCTGAGAACCTGGGAGAAACTGGGAAGAGGGGAACCTCCGTAGCAGCTGGCAGGGCACTGTGGGCCCTTCCTCTGATCCAAGGTGAGGATCCATTTGCCTTTCCACTGCTTTGTGTACCCCCATGTCCTCTGGGCTGATGCAGGCCCACAGACCGCCCTAGGTGCCATCCCCCCTTGTCCCCACACAGATGTGCACCACTGCACTGCACCTGGCTTCTACTTCTTAAAATTTTTCTCTTTTTGCAGTGCTGAGGATGGAACCCAGGGCCACCTGCACACAGGTGCTCCTGGGTGTGCTGCTTCCCTGTTCTGAGCCACTTTCCAGAAGAGCACAGAGGGTGATGATGATCTCACCGAGTATGATTGTGCAGGTTGCTCACTGCACAAAGGTACCTGACTGAGTAGTTGCTCCCCACTCTGGCACAGCATGTACCCTGCAGGGCCCATGAGAATGTGTGCATACAGTAGGTGTTCATGTGAGGAGGGAGCCTGTTCTTTTCTGGCCTGACTTTTCAGTTGGGGTTCCTGTAGAGTGGATGATAATGGAAACTGCAGAAGGGGCACCGAAAAAATGCTTCCCTGAGTAGGAAAGACTGACAGCACCCAGCCAGAGACCACTCACTCCTCAGGCCTGTTTCAAGGGGGCCACTGCCACTGTGCTCCCCCCAGTGCCAACCAAGGTCCAGCCCCGGTGGGGGGAGTGAGGGTCCAGGGTAGTCCTGAAGGAGGAGTGGTGTCAGCGAAAGAAGAAGAGCCGGACGGCAGGTTGCCAGTGACGAGCAGCCTCCGAAGACATCTCATGCTGCCTCGGGAGGGATCTTTATTTTTATACTTTTAAAAAAAGATTGATTTTCTTTTTAGTTATAGGTGCACACAATATCTTTATTTTATTTTTATGTGGTGCTGAGGATCAAACCCAGTGCCCCACGCGTGCCAGGCAGATGCTCTACCTCGGAGCCACATCTCCAGCCCCAGTTTTATACTTTTTTTACAGATGTTTTTTCAGGTAGTTAATGGATAGCTTCAAAGCCCAAAACTTTTTTTTTAAAAGAGAGAGAGAGAATTTTTTTAATATTTATTTTTCAGTTTTCGGTGGACACTACATCTTTATTTTATTTTATGTGGTGCTGAGGATCGAACCCAGTGTCCTGCGCGTGCCAGGCGAGCACATTACCTACCACTTGAGCCACATCCCTAGCCCCAAAACTTTTTTGATTTACATAATTTTCAAGAAGTACGATCTTGGGGCTGGGGATGTGGCTCAAGGGTAGCGCGCTCGCCTGGCATGCGTGCAGCCCGGGTTCGATCCTCAGCACCACATACAAACAAAGATGTTGTGTCTGCCGAAAACTAAAAAATAAATATTAAAGTTCTCTCTCTCTCTCTCTCTCTCTATCGCTCTATCTCTCTCGCTCTCTCTTTAAAAAAAAAAAAGTACGATCTTTTCTGACATACACTAATTACCTAAGATATTGAGTACGTTGTTCAAAATATTTTTCTGTAACTGTAGAAAATCATAATTAAGCTTTTACGTTTTCACCTCAATCTCTAGGTACTAGGCGACAAAACCAGACTACATGACTCCTGACCTATTATTCACTTGTAAATTTAAAGCATACCTATAATTATTTCATTAACTTTTAACTTTAAAGCATACTTATGATTATTGGTAAGCTTTCTTACTTCTAAACTAAAATCCCAGTAAAACACACTTAAAGTAGTGAAAGTCTATTATTTAAAAGCCTACTACTCTGAAGTGCCTCTAAAATATACCTACGTTAATTTTATATCATTCTATTTTTAATAGAATTTTCTTTTTTTCATATGACCTATTCAACTGCTTTCTTAAAGAACTCCCTTGATCCCTGGTCGAACCACACCAGTTCTTTTGTCTTTGTAATCTTTAACTAAAGGGCAGGCTTTACACCTCAACCCATTTGTCATTTATATTAACTATGTGTTTTCCATTTTCATAAGTTTCTGTGTAAGGCAAAGAAGGGTCTATTGGTTGGGGAATGTGTTTTTATTAGCCTCTTGTCCCTGAGGGGACACCATAAGCTACATACGGTGGCACAGCGATCGTTTTTTCCGTAGCTAGGCTATTGCACAGGTTGTGGCTTTAGGATGGGGTTGGGGGGTTATGTAAATTGTTAACTATGGGATAAATATTTCT